CTCAACATGACTCCCCACATTGTTGCCTTTGATATATATCACCTATCTAATGTAGAGCAGGGCATTTTCGCAAAGGTAGGAGAGTTGAAATATAGGATGCATTGTAAGATCAAGTTAGTGTTAGGTAAAGTCTTAATTAGGTTTAGGGTCATGATGTATGAACTAAGGTTTGAATTTTGATTAAGGTTAGGTTTAACATTAACACTAGCAAGTTATATCATATCAAATAAATGTTTCTACCAGTACACTAACAGGCCACTTTAAAAAGATTTTAGAGTTTTAGACACAGTAGTAAAGGGGAAATTGTTGGGTGGTGGATTTAACGTCTCATGACCCCCCCCCCCCACACACACACACAAAATGAAACTTGTCTACCACTTGTGTCAATTTATGGTTGCTAATAAAAATGTTAAATGACATATAATCAACAAGTTTAAAGCTCTACATATTCCCCCCCCCCTTTCTTTATCTCTCTCTCTATATATATATATACATATATATATATATGACAATTTTTAAAAAGCCCCCCTCCTCTCTCCCATGACCAATTCCAGGCTACACCACTGATCAGACACTCGTATGAAACATACATTAGTAATTTTTAATACCCTTGCAACCCAGTTAGTATGTGGGGAGAAATAGATCTAGCCTACTCTCACAGTTACCTGCAACAGTTAACGTGGCACTTGTACTGTCTAGTCTCTTGTTACCGATCCTTACGGTACAGAAATAAGGTCCAGAATCAGCTTTCGTTACCTCTGAGATGGTCAAAGAACCGTTCTCTGCTACAGAAATTCTCTCTTCAGTAGGTTTAATCCAAGATCTCTGTCTCCGCCATAAAAACTGAAAATAATTTTTGTAGTAAAATATATGAAAATATACTCTTCATTAAAAGCCTGACTTACAAAGTTTATATTAAAAACTTAATAGAATTCCAACAAGAATAATTACACGTGTAATCTGCTTTGTTTCTGTAATTCCACAATCAAAGCGGACATTTTCTCCTTCATTAACTGTTGCGTCTTGGGGTTGTCTTTTAATAAATACGTTATCATCATCTGTTGAATATTTGCATGAATTTTAGTCATCTTAATAATAAAAAATCCCCCTTTTTTGTGTTATATGTGTATGTGTAGTATGTGTGTTTCAAAATCTACCTTGTCACTTTTCAACCAAAAACCCCATAAAACAGAAAACAAAAACACAAAACTTTGCAAAATTGGAATAGAGGTAATTAAATGATGTATTATATAACAATGTTCTATAAAACCCACAGCCCCCAGTCCGATGTTTCACAATGATAAAGCAGCCAGTACCATGGCACCTATGTTTGTTTTACACAGTGTGATACATGATGGGTCACTCTACCATTCTTTAAATTGAATCAAGCATGTATGCCTTAAATAGGGACAAGGTGGCACACGACATTCAATGATTAAATCTATCTCACTATTACGAAGTGTGATTAATGTACACTGAAGGTGTTCATACAGGCACACCCAAGGATGACTGGGCCGGAGTGTGAACCAACACCTACCCCAACATTTAAGATCTATTATAGTGCCAGGGCTGTTTACACTTAAATCAGTTTTAGAAAACAAGTCTAAAAATACACTCTTCATAATGCATTGATGAAATCCTCTTAAAATATCTGTGTCAGCCTGTCGCAATATATATATATATATATATATATATATATATATCTAATATATAAAGCTCAATTCTGTAACGCATATGTTTGTCGTTGGCATTTCTACGGATTTAAGTGTTAGATCAATTATCGTGCGCGTTTGTCTAAATTTATGAGTTAAAAAATTACTATTAAAAGTGTTGGGAAATCATTTTCATTTTTCAAATTATAGTAATAATTGTCGGCATGTTCATTAAACACAAGTTTTAAAAAAAATATCATCTTTTACAAAAATTCTAATTATGTTTTTATTTAGTCCTATAGCGCTTACTTCCCTTTGATAAATTAGGCAAAACACAATTACTTCCCTTTATGAAATCATTGCATTAGTTGAAAAGCATTTACTTTTTAATTACTTTGTTTTGGTGTTGGGAAAAAAATAATTACATAATTAGCGGGGATTGATCAAGTGCAAATGTTTTAGGTATTTTACGGATAAGCTTGGAGTATTATAATTGTTCATTAAATTGAAACAGGCGCGTTCGTTTAAGTGAGTGCAAAAACTATGAATAAGTTGGGGTACTATAGTCGTTTATTAAGCTAAAACAGGCGATTCTGCCCCGGGCGTTTATGTTCGCGTTAGTGTTTTCTTTGTGTTTAGGTGGGTTTGCGTTAGTGGTTGCGTTTTGATTTGGTTCGTTTTTGTTCTTTCTTTTTTCGTTTTTGTTTGTGTTTTTTTTTTGTTTGGGTTTGTATTTGTGTTTTTGGTTGGTTTTGCGTTTGGATTTGGTTTGTTTTCGTTTGCTTTTTCGTTGTTTTTTTTTTGGTATTGGTGTTTGTGGTTGGGTTTGTTGTTAGGTTTTTGTTTTCGTTTGTTTTTTCTTTGTGTTTGTATTGGTGTTTGTGGTTGTGGTTGGGTTTGTTGTTAGGTTTTTGTTTTCGTTTGTATTTCTAATTGTGTTAGCGTTATGTTTGCGTTTTGTTGTTTTGGTTGGTTGTGGTTTGGGTGGGCAATGCCGGGTTTATGATGATTACTAAACACACAGGTAATGGTCTTTAACGGAAAGGTTTTTCACAGAAGCCAGAGCAGGGCCTGGCCGGGACGGCTAGTATATATATATATATATATATATATATATATGAGAAAATAAAACATCTCAAGAATATCCTCCCTTTGTTAGGATCTTCATCAATAACATTAAGACATGTATCTTATTAAATATCAGGTTATTTTTTTATAACATTGCCATTATTTAAAAAAAATTCCCCTGACAAATTACAAAAACAATGAACAAATTTTAAAGTCTCACAGCATTTTGGTTTATTAAAACAAATCCCACTAAATATTTATTTCATCCCACTGCTTTTAAAAATTCCACTGACTGTTTATTAACTCCATGCTAAGTTTAATTAAACCTGTATTTCACTGAATATTTGCTTACCAAATGCATTAACGGTCGCTGGTTTGCTGCGACCTAAGATCTCCTCAGCTGGGCCTACAGCAATGCACTCACACGTTATTGTTTGCCCGTTACTTGTCACATCGGCATACGTGACAATAATGCTGGCTTGAACCTCGTCATCTGGCACAGTTTCGTCATTTCCTTTCTCTATAGACGTTTCTGGGATTCGTTTTGAGAAGCATTCGAATGTGATATCATGCACATTTTTTGCCTGGCAGGTGATTTGTACAGGGTCAGTTTTGCTTACAAAGTAATTATCTTTTGGCTCTAATGTGAAGACATTGCCTGACACAAGAGTCTGTGAAATGTTGATGATGAGGAATGCAACTGTGGAAATTAATAATAATAATTATTATTTGAAATTAGCTGTATTTTCCCAATGAAAACTTGATTGACACATAAAGAGTGGTGTGTTTTAATTCATGTTTGGTGTGGCGTAATTGAACACTTACATAGCACATACTCCCAAATAATTATGTATACTGTTTTATCAAAAGTGGGTGGGTGGGAGGGGGTGGTAGTATTCTAATCTCAGGCTAAAGTTTTTTTTTTTTAATTGGAGCTCCCCACAAACAATGCCCACCTTCATTGAAACATATGTTATTATTTAGTATTGAAGACTATATACTTTAGTAATTACAATTATTGGTGGTTTTAGATGAGGAATCCTAGCTCAGTAAATATAGAATCTAAATGCCAACAGGGAATTTGTATGCTGTATTAACTATCACCAAGAAACATCTGGTGAAGAAACCTTGAAGAGGAAACTACAAAGAAGGGCTACACCTAGAGTCAGGTTGAGAAAATGGCACAAGACAGAGGACTCTTTGGAGATCTTTGGCTGGCAGCCCATACCACAGTAGGGATGAAGGGGAGTGATAATGGTGATGATTAATTAACTGAGTATTAATTCTTAGTTGATCTATATTTAAATTCAATACCTTGGCTAATTTTTCATTTATTTCATTCTTCGAAGCAGAGCTCACATGATCATGTGCTTATATGACATTATATGATCACTAGCTAGATAAATCCTAAATGTAAATGTTACAGTTTTTTAATGTAAAAAAATTAAAACAAATTTCTTTCTAAAACAGGTTATATAACTTGGTCAGCATTGAGTATATTAGTTAACTGCAGAAGTGAGTTCTTTAGATGATCTTTAGCATATATATATAGTTTAAATAAAGAAACGGCCCCATAGTCTGAAAGGTCATTGGATAATTGTCATTGGGTCAGGTCACAAAACATGGGAAGCGAGTTTTGAATAACCAGATGCCTCAGCTGTAATTTACAATCTCTCTAGACTTCTGAGTTAGTGTAACTATTGTATGGTATGGTGTAAAAAACATGGAAAAGAGCTGAGGCATTGGTAAGGCCATGGAACATTCATTTAAAATAGTACACATTAAGGAATTGGATTGAAAATAAAAAAATATTGTCCTTTCAACTATGAATTGTATTACTATTATAAATGCAATTAAAAATAATTTTGTTTTTTTATAACAATTTGTATTAAATTAGAAATGGCATAGAAATTAAAAGAAGTTCAAACCATTCAAAGATGTCAATTCTCATTGTTATAAGTGTAAACACATTGACTTTTGTTATGGGTTTCGGGGTATGTAATCAGAAAATATAAACTTTTATTATCTTTTAACTAATGATGTCAAGGGTACCAAAATAACTATGTAAACAGATGTCTAGCAAATTTAAGTGTTGCTATGTTTGCTCCAAGTGAGATTGCTTTTCTAGAATATTGAATAGCACATTCTTCAATGCTACTTACATAAGTACAAAGATGCTTGTTTTATATAGGGCGCCATTATGACGTCCTTTTCTTCAGAATCTAAACTCCTGGTATTAAATTTTTAAATCCCTTGTCCTAAAGTAGTTTTTTTTTAGATCTGCAAATGAAAAAAAATATTTAAATTGAAATATATCTGAAAAGTCATCTTTAATTGATAGAATAGAATAAAATCACTGGATTTGAAAATTAAAGAAACTGTATAGTTAGACTTATAACTTTAAAAAAATTTGTTGAAATATAGGTCATAATAATATAATAAACTTTAATTAGCAATGTTGATAAATTGTGGTATGATTAAATTATCACAATAACATAAATTACTAGATCTATTTGTGTTGTTTTTGGACCAATCAATGGTGCAGTACCAGTGTGGGCATAATGAAAAAGTCTAGAATCTATATTTTAATAGTATTTTAGCAAAATAAATTTTTTATGCGAAAAATTTTTAAAACTGCATGAAGTAAAACACTTTTTTAAGTTTAGATTTTCGATTAATCCCCCCCCCCCTCCCCTAAGCAACTTATCAATCATAAAGGTAAAGAGCCTATAAAATAGATAGTTTTAGATACTATGGAAGTTAAGTAAGATCTAGAAAGCATAATCTAATAATAATGCAATCCTCCTCCCTCCCCCCACCCCACCAACTCACAATCAGGTATACCTCCACACCTCACCAGAGGATCCTACTAAATATAGCACAAATGTTTAGGTTATAATTCAACAGACATGAAACTTAAATTTTACATATAAATTTCGGTAACTCTACTTTTACTTTAACGGATTACTTCCCCTGTTAATGTTCGACAACTCTACTCCAATATCTTCTTCCCTATAGTAGTATAACTATATGCTTTAAAAAACAGAATAGTTATTTGAATGTTTAGTGAAACTACACTTCAATATACTTCATGGTCCACCAGATGTCAACAGTATTGGCTATTTGTCTTTAAAAACAATGATCTCATATTACATTTTAAATCACAAAATAATTAATGAGTAACGGGTTTTACATTGTATGGGGAAAATAGTTCGTTTGTAGGCAATAAAAATAACTTAAATATTTATTTAAAAAAATTCAAGTCTCAACATTTTCAACATTAAATGCGTGTATGAATTTACAATTCCGTTACAGATGTTTAAAAACACAACATGAAAATTATATCATGTAGTAATTGAAATAATTTCGAAAACTCAAAATCAGTTGACATCCCTACACTGTGCTCATTTTTAATCTGGAGTATTTTGTAAATGTAAATAGTATTTCTTTCAGGCATCACATCCACCGCCCCCCTCCCACGCAGGAAATTAAAAAAATAAATAATTTATATAGAAAAATAATATTTCAATGTCAGCCCACCGCCCCCTCCCCGTAGAAAATGTCTGAAAGAAACGTTGAGTGTAAAGCAATTATAAAATAGTTCCCTACAACCAAACACTTTGATAATGAGCAGTTAGACTACAATATGGTTCCGGCCTATGGGCAAATATAAATACAGGTGACATGAACGTGAGTTGGTATAGGTTGGGGCTTTTGTTAGAGGTGGTGGGGTGAGGTCAGGTTTAGGTCAGGTGTGGGTCCACAACCAAACATGGTGTACAATTTGACATTAGGTACTAGGGTACGCAGAGACGGAGTGGTCTAGCGGTAGAGAGTAAGCCTGCTAACCCGTAAGTCTCGAGTTGGAATCCGGGTTCAAGTCAGTAGACTGTACATGAGTCAACCCAGCTCGGATGGGTGCCCAGCTCACGTTAGGGAAAGTAAAAGCGCCTGGACATAGTGCTAAGCACACTGTCCCTTTATATGCGGGGTGACAGAAACAGGTGAACTCTACTTGCCCTATAGACCGTCAGGCTTACAAGGGATTGACACTGGGGTTTATATCTATACGACACAGGAAGGTGGACAGAAGTATTTATCTCAGGATAACAAGATGGGTTGTGATTTCATGTAAGAATGTACCATACATTGTCTTCCGTATTCGTTTGTAATTGTATCATGTTCAGAAGTGCTGAATGTGAATGTTAATTAAAATACCATAGTTCTAATCCCACCCACACCCCAACCCTGAAGCACGGCTACCGCCCCTCCCCATAACGAATTTATATAGAAAATATATAGCTTTACCAGTATCCGACCCCCTCCCGACCTCCGGAAAATTTCGTCCGCTCCGGCCCGAAACAAATGAATATTAAGTACTGAATATTAAGAAGATAAAGAAAGCACAAAACCACGGATGGTCAGTCATAAGAGGCTTAAAATGTTACAGAAGAAGTGGTTCTATACTCAAATATTTTTTTTTTTGGTTTGAACTCTGGTCAACTGAAATATGTTGTAGGCTGAAATAGCTTTATACAGTATTAGCTTACCCGTCTCCCGTGTGTTGATGCGGTCTCAGAAGAAAGGCTGACGCAAATTTTAAAGAAGATTTCATCAATGCGCTACCAATCGTTATTTTAGGCGCGTGATAACTTCTGAATGAATCATATAAGAACAAACGCACATTGCGTCATTCGAGGGGTTCTACGCATGTTATTAATCCTTATTTTTAGAAGTTTTACTTGTCTAAGAAAACTTAACGCATTACCAACAGTGTACTTTTTGACGCGTGACCTTGTTTTCTAAAACTGAGTTATTTAATTATGGGCAATGAAGGCACTGTATTTCTTGGATCATGGCAGTTGGGACGCGGGTTTGTCCACGCTACTGCCCATACACCACAGGTCGTGTTGAATGAAAGTCTTGAGAGTACATTAATCCCCCTCAGCAACAGTCAGGTAGAACACACATCGGCTACCGCCCAGGTACGAAGTGCGTCACTGGGCCCTCTTGGGAGCCACCGGTTACACAACCGCAGGGCGCTGGGTACGACCGCTAGTTCCGTTTAGTCATCGAAGGTCATGTGTCACTTTGTCCCTAATAGTCCCTATTGTATGGTGCTTTTTAAAACTAATGGAGGCGCTATATTGCTCTCGCGGGAGCACGGGGCACCCAATCGCTCTCGGCCGTAGTGCCGCGTATTACCAGCCTTGTTCGATTTAGTGAACGATTATAGTAGCCTATCGTGTCCGTAGTGAATCGAACATTTTAAAACAAACATATCCGCTATAATGCTCACGGGTTAGCCCGGGGTGCAAAATCTGCCGTTTTCGAGGCGTCATAGGACGCGCCCAATACAATTTAGTCGAATTGCCCCTCCCCCCCCCCCGCCAGGGCGCTGAATATTCGATTTATTAAAAGATTATAGTAGCCCATCGTGTCCATAGTGTATCGCACTATCAGGGCCATGGTCTTGTTTTCTCTAGGTCTGTGTCAGGGCATAGCCACTGAAAGTGGTGTAAATTCACTTATTCACTATCTTTTCCCGTTCGTGCCCAAGACAAGTGGGGCTGATGAAGTAGAGTTCATCTATTTCAGTGACCTAGGCATGTAAAGGGATAATGTGGTCAGCACACATCAACAAAGAATAATAATCATATATATATATATATATATATATATATATATATATATATATATATATATATATATATATATATATAAATACATATATATATATATACTTACAGATGCACACGACGCAAATACGTTAAACACAAGTAAACCGATCATGATGAGCCAAATGAAACCTATCCAAGTATCTGGCAGCGATAGATCAACAAGGGACACAACTTGTCCCATTTGATCAGGAGAGGCTTTAGTTAAGCAAGGACAACTCTCTCTAGACCTCTAGTGTATTATTGCTCTGGTCAATATTGTAATCATATTCCTGCTACTGCTGCATCAACGGGCCACACGCTTATATAATCGTTTTGTTTCCGCCGTGTGAGTCAACATGGGACGTGTTGTTTGAAAATATTGATCTGTAATCGAAGCGACGTTCAACATAACAAAATCTACTACCCATCACTAAGGCTCAATGTTCCACCGAAAGTAAAAACCTCGTATACCACCTGTTTGTATAGGAAGCCACTCTCCCCCTCCCCCTCCTCAATGAACCCCCAAGTCTACGCTCATGACACAACAACATCACACATTCTCTAATCACAGGGTGTTGCTATGTTTACTTTAGCCAGCTGTTAAGATGCTGATGCATGGTACTTTGTTTTCACATGAGTTTGTATTATATATATATATATATATATATATATATATATATATATATATATATATATATATATATATATACATGTATGTATTATGATTAAGTGTACATTGTATATACATATAAATACATATGCACACAGGCTACCAACACGATATCACTAAGTTTAAAATTTAAACATATGTTTACTAATTGATCAATATAAGATGTGTGTTGTGTGTGTGTAATGTGTAGATAACAAAAAGAAGTCAATATCGTTGTAAGGTACAAAAATCCACATCCTGTTTTTTTTTAAACATCATTCATTATGTACATATGGCCCATCCACCTACCCAATTTTATCCCAATAGAGAACCATTAATTATTCTTTTTTAATGTTATTTTGTTATGTTGGAAATTGATGTATTCTAACTCTGGGCACCAATTATAGTTTACACAATGAGCTGTTTTTAACTTTTCCCTAATATTTTAACCCCATCTTTACTGGAGAAGTGCGGGCAATAATACGTCGCAGATGTATTTTATAATGCGCGATTTGCATTTCGTCTTAAGGGGTCTTCACATCTAACGTAGTTTTTCCCTCAGAAATCCCATCATGGACAAGGATGTTTCTATATATAGCAACCGACTGATCGTGTAGCGTAATAAATTATTGAATATTGGGGAAAATAATGTGAGCCCTTTTTCGCTATCCCAAACACGATTAAATATAAGAATATATAAGAAAATTACGCTTAGCAGAAAGGGTAATAAGAATTAGGTTTAAAAAAAATCAATATTATCTCCCCTTATTTTCTCTTATGTCCAAAGCTTACTGAGGAAACGAAGGGAGAGCATGCGTAAAGACTCGATAATGAAAGAACCTTAACTCCGATTTGCCGGAATGTGATCAGTCCTACATCACAGTAAAGCCCCTGATAAACGTCACCCTTTAAAAAAAGTATTAAGGGTAGCAATTTCACGTTATTATAGAGAGGCCAATAACGAGACAGCT